TTCTACTAATATAGGGGATAGATCATTCCTTGTGTTCTACTAATATAGGGGATAGATCATTCCTTGTGTTCTACTAAGGTAAGGAAAACTTGACACAGAAAGACTTCAATCCTATTAAAAATAGCTGTCATTAAGTCCAATATGTAACAAAATAGGAACTCACCATATTTTATCTAACTCCTTACAACCATGCTTACACACACACACACACACACACACACACACACACACACACACACACACACACACACACATCATTATTCTCACTCAAATTTAAGATAATGGGCTTTGAAAAGTTGAATAATTCACATTTGGTTACATAAGATAAAAGTTATTTCCTTTGGAGAGGAGTTAAAAATTGGTCCTTTTGGATGATTTTTGGTGGTAGTACTGGAGACCAAACCCAGGGCTTCATGTATGCTGGAACAACACTCTGCTATTTTCCCAAATCCTCAACCCTACATCAGCCTTCTAAAAGGATCTAAAAGTAAAAGCACACTTCAGTTGGAGACTGAAGACATGACTCAGAGATGAGTATATATTTAGGCTACTGAAGGCCCTGGGTTCAAACCGCACTGGTGAAAAGGCGCGCCAGCTTTAGGAAGCACCTGTCTGCCCCTGGGACATATCTGTCTTATAAGCTCCTTTCCCTTGGATGACAAACTTTGTTCAATGAGGTCCTTTCCCAACATTCATTTTGCCTTTTATTGCATAATTAAATACTGGCTTGCATTTGTAGTGGGCTTGGTGGACTGTGTCTGTAATCCCAGCACTGAGAGGCAGAGACAAGAAGATCCTGGTGGCTCACTGGCCAGACAGCCTAGCTTCTAGCCAATCATCAAGCTCTAGGTTCAATGGCAGACTTTGAAAATATAAGATATAGTAAGGCCCTTCATCTAGTTCTCTGCTCTGCAAAGATAGATGGATGAATGGACATACATACATACATACACACATACATACATACAACCTCAGGTCTTATGAACACTCCCAGGCTCGTGGGTGAAGAAAACAAACTCCTGGAAATTGTCCTCTGATCTCTACATGTATGCTATTGACACACACACATACACACACAAATGAAAAAAAAATTATTTTAATCATCCCTGGACTGTCAGAGGGGGAAAAGTGCTTGCTGTGCAATCCTAAGAACCTGTGTTTGAGTCCTGGATCCCACAGTGGAGGGAGATGACTGAGTCCTAGATCCCACAGTGGAGGATGACCAAGTCCTGGATCCCACCCACAGTGGAAGATGACTGAGTCCTGGATCCCACAGTGGAGGATGACTCAGTCCTGGATCCCACAGTGGAGGGAGATGACTGAGTCCTGGGTCCCACAGAGGAAGATGACTGAGTCCTGGATCCCACCATGGAGGGAGATGACCGAGTCCTGGATCCCACAGTGGAGGATGACTGAATCCTGGATCCCACCATGGAGGGAGATGACTGAGTCCTGAAAGTGTTTCTGACATTTATGTGTGTATGATGACATGCACAGGCTGGTACTCAAACACACATAATAATAAATTTTGAAATCATCCCCCAAGTGTTCATATTAACACACACACACAGAGGGAGGGAGGGAGGGAGAGATGGGGGGGAGAGAGAGAGATCTTAAAATTAGGTATATATCAAGAACAGCACATAGTTTATTTTTAGGGCTCCTTCTCAGGGTACAAAACAGCACATAAAGATAAAACCAACTCCCACAACTGACATGGCTCAATTAAATGGACTGCCAGCTCTCTGACAAAGCTGGCTAGTTGGGCCAACTGTCACCACAGACATTGGAGTGAAAAAGGGGATTTCTTCAGTAAGATAGGAAAGAATGTTTTCTCTCCTCCTGGCTGGCTTGCCAAACATTACCAGGGATCAGGTCTGGGCTGCCTGTGTCCAGGTTCTTGGCCTCTTATTCAAAGGGTTCTTGTAAGGGCACACATAGAGATTCAAAAGCAGCAAGCTGACTTCATTCAAAACAAGGTGACAGTTCAGGTCAGATACACTGTTGAGACTCAGCCTGCCATATGAGTGAGGACACTCATCACTGTGGTTACTTTTTATTGGGTACAGAGACGGGAGTTCAGTGACTTGGGGTCTAGTTTGGGTGGTTCTCTATTTTGACTGCACACTTGGACCATGTAAGTAACATGATTAATGTTTATGTTCCTTCCTACTATGCATATGATTTTAGTCATATGCATATTGTACCAGGCTTTTTCTTTTGGGCCACCAACCAGCTCCCAAATCATGACATGAGACTTGCTGTTAGTTATGAAGGCTTGGCCTAGCTTAGGCTCATTTCTGGCTAGCTATTTTAACTTAAATTAACCTGTTTCTCTTTATCTACATTTTACATCAGGGCTTTTTACCTTTCTTCCCTCTGTATATCTTACTTTCCTCCTTTCTGTGTCTGTCTGACTGGCTGGTGACTGCCTAGCTTCCAGCCCCAGGCGTCCCCCTCACCCTCTTCTCCCTCTCCTTTCTGGTTTTTCTCTCTGGAGCCTCCTATTTATTCTCTGTGTCCACTAGCTACTGGCCATTCAGCTCTTTATTAGACCAATCAGGTGCCTTAGGCAGGCAAGGTGAAACAGTAACACATCTTTGCATAATTAAACACATCCTTACATCATTAAACAAATGCAGCATAAACAAATGTAACACACCTCTACACAGAATAATATTTTACAGCATAAACAAATGTAACACATCTTTACATAGTTAAAATAATATTCCACAACATATCTAATTATGCATAAGCATGAGATGGTAAATAGTTGAGTTGATTTTCCCTAAAACCTCACTTAGAGGACACAGTTTGCTCTGTTGTAAAGCACGCAAGACCAGTTCAGGCTGGATCAACCCTCCTACCCTCTTAGATGAATGTGTTAGTAATATACTTGAATAGAAACTGTTTGATGATTGATGGGAGAAGAAAGTACCCGTTGTTTACCCTACTTGTTTTAAGTAGGTAAGTGAAGCATGATGCAGACGGGGTTCTGGGTTGCTGACAGGTGGCTAGATGCTTTGTTCAGAGAAGAGTGTGTACATGGGTGAGAGTCTTGGCTTTTCGAGTACATTGTTAGAAAGGGGCACATAAGCTACTGAACACGAAGAGCCCCAGGTTGCCATGCTATTCCTTATGCTTGCTTGCCCCACTTGGACCTGGATGTGCCTCTTCTTTTTCACTTCCCTGTTGCTGTAAGGGGAACAACTGCTTCCCATGCCTGGTTTTTTCCCCATTGCCTGCTTCCCAGGTAATCCCATGATTAATATACTGTCTTGCCACAGGCCCAAAGGCAACAGGACTAATTAATTGTAAGTGGCATGGACGTCTTTGTGCTTACAGACATGTGCTAGGGGAGCCTGGAATGTTAAGCACATGGGGTTGTTCCTTCAAGGGAAGGAATGTAAAAACCTTTTCTGCCCAGAAGGCTGGAATGGATGTGCTTTCTAGCCTGGTGGCCTTTGCACAGTCTGTGTAGCTGGAGACTTTCTGGTACCAGACCCTCTTCCGGCCAACATATAGAACCTCTCTTTATGAGAGGTGTCACATATACTTTCCAAAGAGTTTTGATGTAGTCACATCTAATCTGTATTTAGTTTACAAATGTTCCTCAAAGAGATTTAGGTGTGCTTTGTTGTGCACACGGGATTGTGATAATCATCATCAGAATAGTTTTCACCAGATTGTGCTGAGTTTATATAGGCCTAAAATAAACCACTCAGGGTCAGGCTCCCGAAATTTGAACCAACACCGTCTACTGACCCGTGTTGTGTTGGACTGCCTTCTTGCCTCCCTCGGCTTGTAGCTCTGCTGTGAAGGCTGCAGAGACCCCCACAACTAATCGGTTGTGAAATCTCTTATCATGAGTGAAAATAAATCTCTGTCTTCTTAAATTGATTACCTCAGGTACTTTGTTACCATAATGGAAAACTGGATAACTGTGACTAAGATCAACTTGCATCCAAATCAACATATTGCTGATATAAAGGGAGGGATGTTAAATAGTAATACAAGGCACCTTCAGGTTCTACAAAAGCTGTGAAATCATAGGGGCTGATTGTTGTGGCCAGCCTGGTTTACAAAATGAGTTCCAGAACAGCCAGGACTACACAGAGAAAACCTGTCTCAAAAACAAGCAAACAAACAAACAAACAAAACTCAAAAGAAAAAAAATGGTGTGTGTGTATGTGTGTGTGTGTGTGTGTGTGTGTGTGTGTGTGTGTGAGCTGATCAAAAGTGATGAACATATTTTGAGCTGGCAAATTTAATAATGGGGTTAAATCTATGATAAAAAGATGATTTCAAGGTAATGACTGTCACTCTGTCTTATTTTTTATTGCTGTGAAGAGACATATCATAACCATGGCAACTCTTAGAGAACATATTTAATTAGAATTGCTCACTTGCCATTTCAGAGGTTCAGTCCATTATCATCATGACAGGGAGCATGGAGGCATGCAGACAGACATGGTTCTGAAGCTAAGAGTGCTACAGTGCTCTGAGTAAGTTAACTGACTCACACTGAGTGAAGCTTGAGAAAAGAGACCTCAAAGCCCATCCCCACAGCGACACACTTCCTCCAACAAGGCTACACCTCCTAATAGTGCAACTCCCATTGGGGCCATTTTCCTTCAAACCACAACACTCATAGAGGAGACTCATATACTCTGCAGCCAGTTACAAAGCCAGACTCCTCCGCTCATGGGGCCTGGTGCGCAGTGGCTGCAGGCAGCAGCCCCTTGCTGGTGCACATAGCCTGCTGTTTCATGAGCTGTCCCTAGGGACCTGAGAGAGCTTTTCAGAGGATAGTAATGCTTTCTGGGAGCTCTACTACCTGGGACTTGACATCTAGCCTGGGAGCCAGATGCTGAGTGACACTACCACTGAAGGAGGAGACAGCTTCTTCACCTTCTGCAGAGAGACAGACTCTGGCTGGACAACTGTGTTCATAGGCTTGGAACCGACGGTCATCGGTGAGTCAAGGAGCTCTGGCCTGCAGTCTTCTGTTGTTTTTTATCTTTTACTCTTTTGGGGGACCCACGACCCAGCTCCCAAATAAATCACACATGGAGGCTTATTATTAACATTTCCCCCTTTTTTTCTAAATAAAAAGAAAGGTTTTTAACTGTAACTATATTTAATAAAACTATACATAACAAAAACAGTTATTAAGAATTACATTTACAATATTTTGTTCATCTGCAGTCAGTATATTTCGAGAAAGTAATGTATTATCTATCCTATCTTAGTGAATCTAAAGTTTTACATCTAATTTATTTTTTATCATAACTAAGGAAAACTATAATTATATCTATCTAGTCTTTAACTCCATCAAAGACCCAGAAGGATGTAATGTTATCTAACAACAGAGACATTTGGTTGCCTGGACAGTCACCTGAAGTTCCTCTGCAATGCTGGGGCATCCATCTTCAGTCTACAGGCCTAGAGTATCAGGCAGACTTCTCAGTGAAACAGGAAATTTGAATGACTGTCCTGCCTTGTATTGACAAAGTTTGTCAGTTGTTTTCCTGTGTGTCCTGCAGAATGTCTGCCAGGTTCTTCTGTGAAGCAGGAATTTTGAAAGAGTGTCCTGCCTTGTTTTGGCAAAGTTCATCAGTCTTTTTATTGTATGTCCTGCATGTCCAGTCTGCATAGCACATTGTCAGTAGACAAAGGCAAGAGCAGTTTCTTTGTCCAGTGACTAACTTTGTCACAATGAAAGCAAACTCCATAAGGAATTTCTTCAATGCCCATCATGTCTGAAGTAAATTGGTGGTGTCAGGAGCTGATGTGTCTCATTGTCATGAAAAATCTTAGGTTAATAAAACATTTTAAATGCCATATTTTATAGGTCTTTGGAGACCATTTATCTATCTGAAATATACCTTTATATGATCTGGAAAGTATACCTAACATATCTACAAATTTTATTGTTGCTTGCTGTGTGGCTGTGTGGCTGTGTGGCTGTGTGGCTGTGTGGCTGTGTGGCTGTGTGGCTGTGTGGCTGTGTGGCTGTGTGGCTGGCCCCTAGCATCCTCCTCTCCTTATTCTCTTGCTCTTCTTTCCTCCCAGATTTCTCTGTCTATTTATTCTCTCTGCCTGCCAGCCCCACCTATCCTTTCTCCTGCCCTGCTATTGGCCATTCAGCTCTTTATTAGACCATCAGGTGTTTTAGACAGGTAAAGTAACACAGCTTCACAGAGTTAAACAAATGCAACCTAGAAAAATGCAACACATCTTTGCATCATTAAACAAATGGTCCACAGCATAAAGAAATATAACCCATCTTAAAATAATATTCTACAACAGTCTTCCTTTATTATTACATACTGAGTCTATCCTTCAAGACTGGGTGAACCAGCATGTATAGCTTGTTACTGATGGGTGTCTGGGTTTCTTTTCCAGATGAAGTTCTCACTGGTCCCTACCATCAACTCTTCCACTCTCAGCAGATCATCATAAACAAGGTAGGTGCTGCTAGTTTATGCTGATCAGCACTATATCATTGCAGGGACCTTGTCTTGGACCGAGTTAGAAAGCTGGTAAATGCTGTATACTGATATGTGTTTAAATGGGAGACACATTTAACAGAGCAGTCAATTGTTAGTATTCTTCAGTGCCAGTCAAGATGTGTAACAGGCTGTTCACTGTGCAGATTGGACTTCTATGTTGGTAGGTTATGGGGCAATTTGTGACAGATCTCTTGTATCAAGTCTTCATGCTTGCATCAGTTAGATATGGTTTGTGGTTTAGCAGAGTCATAAATAGTACTAAATAAGAAAGTGTATCCTGTGATTATTATCTTTTATTCTCCCGTACAGGCTGACAGTGCACAAGTCTTCAGAGTATCTTGATTTTCAGGAGTGTTGGTGGAAGAAATGGCTCTGGGTTCACCTTCCTCTGGTAGAATGTCTGTCATTTGATTATGTCAGGAAGTCTGCATTGGTGTTTTCCATTTGTTCAGTCCCTCAGGTTTCAACAGGTGTGACTGAGCCTTACAAGTCAATCCTCCCCAACCATAGCACCATGGAGCACTCTGTGTGTCTTAGTCAGTGTTCTAGAGACACCATGATGAGGACAACTCTTGTAAATGAAATCGTTTAGTTGGGGCTTGCTCACAGTTTCAGGGCTTTCGTCCATTAGCAGCTTGGTGGGAAGCATGGCAGCACACAGGCAGACATGATGTTGGGGACGGAGCTGAGAGTTCTACATCTGGATCCAAAGTCAGTGGGAAAATAGAGCACTACACCTGGTTTGAGCCCTCAAAACCTCAAAGCCCACTCCCAGTGACACACTTTCTCTAACAAGGCCAAACCTATTCCAGCAAATACTGTCACCCCCTAAGCATTTGAATTTATGAGCCTATGGGAGCCATTTTTATTCAAACTACCATACCATGCTTTGTGAAAAGGTAAATGATAAACTTCAATATTAAATGCCCAACCTATACTATCCTGAATGCCTCTGTTTTTTTCTTTCACATACCAATGAGAGAGGCATACAGAACACCAAATGACAGGACCAGAAAAGAAACTCCCTATGTCTTAGTTAGGGCTTCTATTGTGAAGAGACACCATGACCACGGCAACTCTTATAAAGGAAAATATTTAATTGTGGTGGCTCACTTACTATTCAGAGGTTCAGTCCATTATCATCATGGTGGGGAGCATGGTGGCATGCAGGCAGACATGGTGGTGGAAAGGCAACAAGAAGTGGTCTCAGTGTCACACCGAGGGAAGCTTGAGCAAAAGATACCTCAAAAGCCATCTCCACAGTGACACACTTCCTTCAACAAGGCCACACCTCTCAATAGTGCCACTCCCTATGAGCTTAGAGGGGCCAGTTACATTCAAACTGCCACACCCTATAACACATAATTACCAAAACACTAAATGTACAGAACAAAGAAAGAATATTAAAAGCTTCAAGGGGGCCGGGTAGTGGTGGCACATGCCTCTAATCCCAGCACTTGGGAGGCAAAAGCATGTGGATTGCTGAGTTCAAGGCCAGTCTAGCCTACAGAGTGAGTTCCAGGACAGCCAGGGGTACACAGAGAAACCACATCTTGAAAATCAAAACAAAAAAGCTGCAAGGGAAGAAGAGCTTGTCACATACAAAAGCAGGCCAATTAGAACAATGGCTGACTTTCACGGGAGACTGTGAAAGACGGAAGTTCTAGGACAGATGTTCTACAAGCTTTGAAAGACTGCTGTTGCCAACCTAGACTGCTATACCCAGCAAAACCATCAATTACAATTGATAGGGAAAGAAAAACATTTCACAATAAGAAATTCAAGCAATTTCTGTCCACCAATCCAGCTCTACATGAGGTATTAGAAGGAAAACTTCAGTCTAAAAAGAAGGTTAACTACACCCAAGAGAATGCAATGAATAAATAATCCTAACCAAAAGGGGGGAAGCTCCACAGCACAACAAAATAACAGCAACCAATAAACACTGCTCATTAATAATATCAATGGTCTCAATTCCCCAATAAAATGGCACAGACTAACAGACTGGATTAGAAAACAGAATCTATCATTCTGTGGCATCCAAGAAACATACTTCATCACCAAGGACAGGCATCATCTCTGGGAAAAGTATGTAAAAAGATATTCTGAGCAAATGGAGCCAAGAAGCAAGCTGGTATGTCTACTTCGATATATGACAAAATAGACTTTAAACTAAAACTAATCAGAAAAGATGGGAAAGGAAGGAAAGTAAAACAGTTACTTTTCTGTTGCTGTGAAGAGACACCATGACCAAGGCAATAGAAGAAATCATTTAATGGGAGTTCACAGTTTCAGAGGGTGAGTCCATGACCATCAGGGCAGGGAGCATGGCAGCAGGCAGGCACTGAAGTATTAGCTGAGAGCTTACATATGATATGAGAAAGAGAGAGAGAGAACTAACTGGAAATGTGGGCTTTTGAACCCTCAAATCTCACCCCCTAGTGACACATCTCCTCCATCAAAGCCACACCTCTTAATCCCTCCCAAATAGTTCCACCAACTGGGGATCAATCACTGAACCACAGGAGCCTGTGAGGGCCATAATCATTCAAACCACCACACACAGTTCATAGTAAATGACTTCAATACCTGAAACTAAACAGAGAAATGCTGGAGTTAAATAATGTCATAACTCAATTGGATCAATCAGACACATACAGAACATTCCACCGAAACACTAAAGAATATACTTTCTTCTCAGTAACTCAGCAACTTTCTCCAAATTTGACCACATATTAGGACACAAAGCAAATCTCAACAGATATAAGAAAATTGAAATAACACCCTGCATCCTATCTGACCACCATGGATTAAAGCCTCATATGAACAACAACAAAAAGTATAAAAACTCACAGAAGCCAAACAACTCACTATTGAGTGAAAATTGGGTCAAGAAGGAAATTTAAAACTTTTTAGAACTGAATGGAAATAAAAAAGCAAAATACCTAAACCTATGGAATACAATGGAATCAGTTTTAAGAGGCAAGTTCATAGTATTATATGCCTACATTAAAAATGGAGAATTCTCATATTAATAACTTAACAACATACTTGAAAGCTCTAGGAAAACAACAAGAATAATGGTCAAAAAGATTAGATGAGAAGAAACAATCAAACTTGGGGCTGAAATCAATGAAACAGAAACAAAGAACGCTACAAAGAATCAATGCAATGAAGAGTTTATTCTTTGAAAAAACTGACAAGTTTGGCAAACCTTGAGCCAAATGAACCAAAAAACATAGAGAGAGGATCCAGATTAATAAAATTACAGATTACAAGGGAGACA